TCTATCGTCTCTGTCGATCTCATTGCTCTTTTCTGTCAAACGCATTTTGTGCTAAATAAATTTATTTAGAAAATTAAATTTACTCACAAAGATTTTGTTAGGACTATTAGTTGGCAAATTTGTTACCAAAAGATTGTAAATTCAAAAATAAAATAAGTAAGATTGTGGACTACTATGCAGACTCTTGATGCCATACAGGAAGCTTATAAGACTATGTTCAGCAAATGTGTTAAAGTGTGTGAAATAAATAAGTTTCTGCGGGAGCACGTCAATGAGCTTGTTAAAGAGAATGATGTGTTGAAGAGAGCTGCTAATAATTATGAATTCCTTGTTGCAGAGAGATAAAAGAAGTTAAAGGAAACAAGGGCTGAACAGGAGAGCACTCAACAAAATTTGAAAATGATGAATTCTGGTACCAATAAACTGGAACATATTCTTTCATTGGGAAGATCAAGTGGTGATTGTCAAGGCCTTGGATACACTGGTGAAAGCTCAACGTCCAAGATAGTGTTTGTGAAGGAGAAACGCGCTCCTGAACCTCAAATTAGCCCCTGTAAGAAAGTTGTTATCTCACGCCCTCAGCATAAGTCAAGAAGGTTTGTTCCTACATGTTAGTATTGTAATTTACCTGGCCACATTAGACCTAGATGTTACAAATACTTGAATGCTTTAAAAAGAGGTATGATCATTAATCCACCAAATTCTGCATTCACAAGAAGGACACCTAGAATGAAAATTGATGTGTACGAAAAATTTCTTAGACTTGTGTGGGTAAGGAAATCTAATTTGAGGTGTCATAAGGCTTATACTTCTTTAAAAGCATGTACTAACGGTTGTGTGTGTAGTAATGGTGGCTGGTCCAAGCATTAGACAGGTGATAATAGCAAGATTAAGAGAGTGTTACATTCAGGGGGAGTAAGACTCGTCGAGGATTCAGGGGGAGCAATTTGCAGAGATCAATGACCTTATAAGATGATCTGTAGAAAAGTATTCCATCAAGTGTTATAACACTTTCTGCGACAACAATTTCTAGAAGATTTATTATTATTATTTTTACTTTTATTTTGGCTTATTTTTGTCAAAAAGGGGGAGAAAGGTGTTGTTTTTGTACTTTTTTTTTCTAGTTTTTGAATTTTGATTGTTAATAGGAACAATATGTTAATTTTGCAACCAAAAAAATGTCAAAGGGGGAGACTGTTAGGACTATTAGTTGGCAAATTTATTGACAAAAGGTTATAAATTTAAAAACAAAATCAGCAAGATTGTGGACTATAATGGAGACTATATTCTTGGCTACTTGCACCGGATTTGGGATGATTTCCTCAATAAAAAGAAATAAGTTTATGGAGCTGATTTGGTTGACTTTTGGTGACTAATTGAAGTGGGTTGTATGAAAAGAATCTGTGGAGAAAATGTGCACATATGGAAAAGTGATTTGTTGCATAATTGATTTGAAGAGATATCTTGGATATACTTAAATTTGGAGTGTAAATGGTATTGATCTTGGTACCAAAATAGTATATGTTGCATGTGCTCTGCAAAATAAGGGCAAATCTGGATTGGGGTACTTTGGCTATATATTCATATGTGTGTACGTGAGGGAGTGTGGCTTGGAAGAGAAAAAGTAGGCTTTTTTCTTTTATGGTTTTAAAAGCAATTCAAGGCCATATTATGGGGCATAGGTTTTAGAGATATATTTTTGAGAAAAAGTATGTGAGATTGTGCTTTTGAGTGTGAAAATATTTTGCAAAAAGAGCTGCTTTGATGTTCTTTGAGAGAAAATAGAAAAAGGTGGTTCTTCAGGAGGATAACGTATTGCTTTCGGGAGAAAGTTTTCAAAGACGAGTGGTGCTTACTGGACAAGGCCTCTAAGAAGATTTTACACAATGACGACAACATCAAGGACGGAGTCTTTGAGTGTGTAAGTCCGATTGGTGTTTGTAATCTCTTTATCTTAGTGGATTATTCACTGTCTGGGCGTGGCCCCGTAGATATAAGTGTGCGCACCGAATTGCGATATCAATTTCTTGTTTCTTTTAATCTTTCTGCACTTATAATTTGTTGCAGGTAAATAAAAGAAAAAATATATGCATATGCACGTATTTGTCATCAGTGTTACAATAAGTGTTACAACACTCTTTGTGACACCGACCGAAAAACAGACCTTTCAAATTTCATTATCAATCAAACAAATTAAATGATGATTAACACTTATTTAGAAAATCTTCAAACAAATTAATTAAGGTGAGAAATATTAATTAAAGTAAGAAAATAGAGATATTTGAACAAAATATATATACGTAATATATATATACACATATACGTGTGTGTTACAAATCAGAACTTTCGTTGACATATTTGGACGGAACTTCTTTTTGAAACCCAAACTATTATCTTTTAACTAAAAATCACCAGTTGAAAATCCTATTAAAAAATTTCCACATATCATTTTTGAAACATGGGTAACAAAATTTTGAAATGCAAAACTCCATTTATAAAAAGATCAAATTGCAAAAGCATACTTTACTTTTAAACAAAAAAAAAAAAGCGAGAGAGAAAGGTAGATTTGTAAAATAAAATTTAAGGAGCTTTTATTTAAACAATAGATTTATAAAATAAAAGTTAACGAGCTTTTATTTTAGAATTTATCATTTAAAGAAAAGAGAACTGCTTCACAATAAATTTTCAATTCACGAGCTTTTTCTTCAACAGACTCAGCAAGAATTTTCGTAAGTAATGGTCTAATGGGGTTTTCGTAAGATACTTTTTGTTTTTTGAATAAAATTGTTGCCAAGATTTTCAAGATCAAGAAATTAAAAATTTCCTTCACACACAACGAAAAAAAAGGACCTCTTTGAAACTTGTAATGCTAGCTATAGTTATTGTAATACCATAATTTACTGATAATGCCAAATTATATATAGTATTGATGTGCAAAGATTGAGTCAAAAGGAAACAAGATTTGAAATGCAATTTAAAGATTGATCCTAAGTGACAAACATAAAGGTGCATTTGTCTCAAAAAGGCCTTCCAGATGAATATTTTTTTAATCGGTCCTCAAAGTGTGGTGAGGAAAATAAAGGTGCGCAGATTTCACGTGATTCACGTGAAACCACTATGTTCTAGAACATTAGTTTACTCCACAAATTATGTATACGAAACATTGAATAACCAATCAAAAATATTAAACACTTCTTTAATTAGAGACACTCTTGGAGAAAAATCTTCAAACATATGCCCATGGACAAAACTTTCTCCCAATATTTTTCTGAAATTCTCATCGAGATTTCAGAATTTCCGTGGTCCCAGATATCTTTTGGGTTTTGTCACAATTTTTATAATTTTCAGTAAATACCAAGAAATATGAATAAAAATAACGATTTTGACGAGGTTGTAGTCTATTTTTTAAATAAATTGTGGAAAATATTGTAAAAATATCAAGATAATATTGGTGAAAATATCAAAAAGTTTCAAAAACATGTGTTGATGATTCACTAAATTAAATAAATTAATAGAGTAATGTTAGAGACAACAACTCAAATCTCAACTTTTGTGTATAACTAGCGTGGCATGTGAGTTGTCATTTTTTCATTGATAGATGTAATCTCTTTCATTAATTGGCGTAATAATATTTTAAACACCCACCAATAAAAAAAAAGATAAACTCACATACTACATCAGTTAGTATATAAGAGTTGAGATTTGAATTGGTGTCCTTAGTATTACTCAAATCGATTATAGTGTTAGATGATGCGTGAGATACTTGCCCGACTAATTAATAGGCCAGTCTACATGATTTTATACGTATTGGCCCAACAAGGTGATAAGGTCTGAGGTAAATCCAAAAATCAAAGTGAAAATTACATGGTTTCATAGTTTTTTACAGACCTATTATTTATGTCATATAAAATAATTAAGTGTAATCATGATTTTATTGAATGATAATTGTGTATTTTTTAGTAGAGTGAAATAAATAATATCTTTTAGCATCTTGAGTGGTATTTCTGGTTTTTTTCTCAAAATCAAAATAGCGTCCAGATTCAACAATTCTCTTATCACCGAAGAATCAAATGAACATATAGGGCTTGGAAATTTCTGGCTTCATGGAATTAATCAGCCACGTGATTATCATGGAGTTTTCATAGTCCCAAAACCTCAAAAAAGCTAGATCCACAATATCTCTTGAAGCATCCAGGCCAGTTAGGTACCCCATCTTTCCTTTGCCATGCAAGAATATCTTCAGTTAATATACTGTGCAAGAATGCATATAATACTATAAAATGGCTCTCGTCAATGTAAAACAAGAAACAACTACACAAAATGAAGAAAACAAATTACTTGCACTGCATAATTTAATTAAATACATGATAGATTAATCAAGTAAAGAGGATATATTCTGAAATCAACAAAAAAGGAATAACATTAATTGTGCTACAGTTTACAGTGAAAATTATTTTTGACACAAGGCTCACATTCCACGCTTACAAGATCCCCCTAGAAAAGCATAAGAAAAAAAAAAAAAAAAAAAAAAAAAAAAAAAAAAAAAAAAAAAAAAAAAAAAACAGACCAAGTACTGCAATATTTAACAAAACCAACATTTGGTTTATCTCTCTCTCAACATACAGATCATGCAGTCAAAGAGGAAATTTAGAGGAAGACTCAAACATCAACGGGCAAAAACCAAGCGATGATTTGCCATCAAATTCCTTATAACCACATGTGGGTTAATTCAACGTGGTCAACTAATCGTTACCACGCAAAAAATGAGCAAAGGCCCAAAAAAAAAAAAACCCGCAAAGAGTATAGGATATAGCTTGATGGCAAAACAATGTTCGTTGGTTATTTGGTCTGTAAAAATAGATAATATTTAAATGCCTAAGTTAGGTAGTTTCTTCTTGGAGATCTGGAGAAAGAGAATAAACACCGACATTTTCCGAGCTATATGTGTTCGAATATTGTACAAGTTCGCACGATTTCACATCTGTTCCAGCGCGCATATGTCACATAAATTTCAATAGAGCTTGTCGGAGGTTCTTAACTAGGTCCTTCACAGTCATGTTGAACTCATTTTCCATCTGCAAGAGAAGGAAAAAGAAAAAATATGCATGACTTTTTGTAGAGGTTTGTCAAAATTCATTTTCATGTATATGTATAAATAGACAGATTGGAGTGTTACTAGATTTCTTATGATCATATAACATTAACAATATACTTTGTATATTATTGTATCCTTGTATATATGAATTGTATTTTTCTTTTGTTATCAATAAAGATATTTGATAGAACTAGCAAAGGATATTGGTCAAGTACGTACTAGTTTTATGGCTAGTTCCTTATATAATGGTTCGTCCTAGAAATATAAATTAAACAGATGATAACATGTTTAATTAACAATTTTAACACTAGAGGCAAAAAGTTCAATTTTACCTGAGCAATTACGGTTATGTCGAAAGTGGAGTTCCCAAAGGGCAAGACACTAGTATTGACGATAGACAGATGAAGCTTCTCTATTTCACTTAACATTTTCACCATAAATCCTTTCTGCTTTTCGCAATGGATTCGGATGAGTACATCCTTCTCCGAAACTCTCGCTTCGATTTCGGGGAGTAGCACTTCGTCGGAGTGGCTGTCGTGACTGTCGTTGCTAGAAGAAGTGTCATCATCGGTACTGGAGATCATCAGTTGGGACTTCTTCACAAAAACAACGGATTCCACAGTTCTCTTCTTGTTCTGTTCCTCTAGCGTCTTCATACGTTCTTGTAGCTCTTTCACATACTTGATAGCATCACCAAGAACCGAAGCTTTGTCCATCTAAGAACATAAGATCATTGTTGCAAGCAAAAGAATCACTAAAAGATATACATCATTTAGCCTTCAAGATATATTATAAGCACACAAAGGAGGAGGAAGACAAATTTTCAAGAAATCTTAGAAGGTTTTATAAATATGAAATAGTATCTTCTTTTAAAAAAAAAATAAAATTGAGAGAGAATAACTGATATCAAATCGAAGTTTAGTACATCTCAACCAGATTGATAGTATCATAATAAAATCTTATGTAAATAAGTCTTGGGCTTGAGAAATATTGTATCGAAGTTATTATGATTATGGATATAAATAGTACCTTCTTTAGACCAGGAAGAATTGCTGAAAGAGCTATGAACCGCTGGCTGAGCTTTTCTCTTCGCCTTCTTTCGGCCATAATATGTTCTTGAGCATGTGAAGGAGTTCTGGTCATTGATGAGAAACTCCTCTTGGTCCCCTTTATAGATGTTTTTGGTGCAGAATCAATATTATCTCCATTAAGTACTGAGTGATCTTTTGTGACCACGGATGAAAAGTAGGGCACATGATCTATTTGAGACGCCGCTTCTTTCTTGGGTCTCAAGGTACTCTCAAAATTCCCATAAACATGTCGTTGAGGCCTTGTAGGTGATGAGTTTGAGTTCTCAAAACTAAGGATTAGCTGAGATGAAGGAGAACCAGAGATCTTGAGCTGTTTGGGGGGCCTATCAAAGCTGACCTGCGAATCTTTGACCGAATAATCCGAACCGCTTGATGCGGCGTTGGACGGGTTCTTGGTGGTGATGGTGGAGTATGATGAATAGCTCTCGGAAGAGAAAGATTGTTTGTAGTCCTCGCCAAGAGCTGTTGCTACTTCTTCTGAGATGAACCCAAACTGATTGAGAGAGTTCATTTCGCTTTTGTGGAAGAAGCTAGAACTGTAGTCTTGATCCAGTCCCTGAAAGCTCAAAGATATTATCTAAGAATTAATATTTTGCTGTACAAATTTGTTAGGAAATAAGAAATAATGAAGATAATAAGATAATTATATATATGCGCAATATAATAATATGAAAATCTTACCAGTTCGGAAAGCCATTTCGCCGAGGCTACGTCCATTATATTTACAAGATTATCCTCTTAATAACTGAAGAAAAGGCACAAAAAGAGTTACTTAGAAAAATTGAACACAACACCAGCTGGAAAATAACACATTTTCATATATTATTTCATGCCAATATCTTATTTCAATCTTTCGGGAAACCCCCATAACATGATGCCTCTTGACAAAACCCAAAAAGAAGAAAGTACAATAAAGTTGAAAATCATGGAAATATTATTGAAAACTGTAAATTAGGGGAGTACAGGAAAATATACACATGAAGGTAGGAAAAAAAAATTAGATCTCCAAAAAAGAAAAAGAAAAAACCTATCTATGGTTTTGAAAGATTGCTCGTTTTTCCTTGTAAGGGCCAAAACTTTTCCCCAGAAAAAGAAGAGTTGAAAGAAAGATAATTGGCTAAGAGAAGTTAGGATTTATAGAAAAAGTACTCTAGCTAGGGCTTTTGAGAAGGGGAAGAGAGAGAAGGAAAAGCCTTACTAGTACTTCACTGAGTGGCCTAGTCCTTGCAGAGAAAAGTGGTCGACAATGAAATTCCTTTTCTTCACTTTTTATAACAATTGACAAATGCCAAATGCCAATCACAACCTTATTAATCTCCAAAGGCGTTTAAACGTTTTTTTGTCTTTATTCAAATTCAGACAAATTAGACTGGCCTCCTAATCTCTCACACGTTAGTTGACGTGATTTGTGGGGCCCATATGGGCATTTCTAAATTCTCAAACTAGATCTGGGAAGAGATACTGTATGCTTCAACAATGGATTAAAAAATAATTTTTTATACATTATCTTTTCCCAAACCCTGCCAACCAAAATGTCCAAAATATTGGAATATACAATTGGCGGGTTAATCATATTTTGTTCAATCATTTTCCTCTCTTAATTGCCTAATTGACTATAAGTTTATTAATTATGAGTTATGATCATGATGGTTGCGCATACATCAATAATAATCAACTTTTATTTTGTTATATTATTACTTGTTCTTTTTTTTTTTTAATCTATATCACGACAAGAGAGTGTTATAATGAAATTGAAAGGCCCATGAGTGAAGATATAAATTCAACTCAACCCTACGGCAGTATATTTGCTAGCTAGCTCGTACAATTTTTATTCAAGCCACTGACTTCAGTGTTTTCTATAATTGACTGTAAGTTTTCTACAGTTTTTTTATTTTTTTATTTACTTGTAATAAAATCACTCTTCCAATCAATGATAAACTAATCAATATATAATGATCTCTAGGAGATCTATTAGATTTATAATTATGTGCATGTATGAATGTAATTTTCCTAAAAATAAGTTAAAGGCTTCTAGCGCAACTAACCTTTAAGAAGCTTAATAAACATCTCAACTAGATTAGCACTCCCCCTCAAACTCCTTTCCTATGTCAGACCTCCCACTCCAGTAATATTATTAAATAAAAAAAAGAGAGAAATACACAAGTTCATCATAAGACCATAAATGACTTAGGGCTTGTTTGGTAAGTATATTTAAACTATGATTTGTGTTCTGCTATAGTATTTTTTATCTCACGAAGAATTTGAATTTAGAAATTTCCCGCTAATGAAATAGAATCACTAACTTGAATATATGCACCAAACAAGCCCTTAATTAGGTTAAGAAAGCTAGTTTATATAAGAAGACGGATGGCTGTTTCGTTCAACAATACAACCCTTTTTCTTATCATTATTATTATTGAATGAAAAAGAGGAATCAAGTAGCATTAAGGACTTCAAACATATACTAACTAAGTTGGCACTGACAGGAAAAACCTATCCAACAACTAGACCCCACACTAATATTATCGAAATAATACCCATGAGAGAGAGAGAGAGAGAGAGAGAGAGAGATCGTCGGTACAAGAAATCTAAGCTGAAGACAATAGTATAACCAAAAACAAATGAATAGAGCTAATACAAAGCAACTGTAAAAGAAAGCGCAGTTTTAAGAAATGATTTAAGGATCTACTCTTCGTGAAAGGAGGAAAAAACCACGAAAGGAAAAACTTCACTGGAAAAAGATTGCAAACGTCTAGCTGAAACAAAAATAATACCAGTTATGTCAAGACAAATATGAGGGAAAAAAAAAAGAGAAAACTATATATTTCAACTGCACGCTTAGCTTAGAATTGTATCAACGATTTGCAAAGAAATTTCTATTAAAGAAAAAGAAAAAAAAAAAAAAAAAAAAAAAAAAAAACGGCTTTCCCGGATTAAAGAAAAAAAAAAAAAAAAAAAAAAAAAAAAAAAACCGGCTTGCCGTGATATGAGATTGTGAGTTCAACTCTATCGAAGGATCGTGAACGTTTTGTTTCCTTAATTTGGCCGCTATTTTTTCTTTTTTCAACTTTAAGCTTTTGTTTTTTTTGTTTTTTCCTCTCACTTAGAAGCAAGTTTTTGGTCTATAGTTGACTCTCAGCGTGAATTAATGTGATAATACAGTTCCAATTTTATAATGCCATTGACAGCAAATCACAGCTGCTGATTCTGCACGCTGTTATCAGGTTTAACTTTGCGATTGTTTTATTATAATAATAATTATTATTATGGTGTTTATAATATGCACGTGCTAAATTAATTGATTTTCCATTGCGGTCCCAATGTCAAAGTTCGCAATTATTTGTCTTTGCTTTAACTATCGAATTCCAAGAAAATGGCATCAAGATGAGCAGTATATATAAATTATCATAATTTGCGTAGTGGTTGTCTCAGCAAACTACCGTTCATTTCGCCGATTCAAGTTTAGAATTTAAATTTTACTACAGTAAAAAGTTTTCAGAAATAGTCACATCTAACTTTTTTGCTACAGTAAAAAGCTCTCACACAAAATCATATCTCAACTCGAATCAGCGAAGTGAACGGACCCTAATTAATCAATTATCAAAAAATATATAGTTTATTTACATGTATATATTATAGTACTATGGAGCAGTTAGGGTATTTTTAATTGGATGATTTTGTCATATTGATGAAGATGACCTCTTTCAAATATGCGCATGTACTGTTTTTACATTATATGTATGTGTGTGTATATATTTTTACACACACACACACACACATATATATATATATATATATATATAACGAGGTTTCTGAGTTGGATTTATGTTGTAACATTTGTAAGACTGGTGGCCGGTCCTACCATATAGCGATAAGAATTTGAATCATAGAATTATATCTAACTATTTTGTTTGTGTTTCTAAGAAATAGATAAAGACAAATACAGCGTGATTTCTTTGGCTCTTAATTATTGTTGAGCCATCAATATCAAATTTTTTTATCATATTTATCTATTCAAGTTGGGGTATATGATTAAGTTTAATATTATTTGAGTATTATTAAAACAATAGTAAGTATTATTAAAAAGTATGAATTCATAAACCATTCCAAAAGTAAACGTGTTTACACTCAGCACTAGTTCTCCCAACCCTTACCCTTCGCTAAGGACCAAGTTCTTATAATCAACAATCATAGTAAGAAGCTTCTCTCTTATTGATTTAAACCACTTGTTTTCTAATTTCTTGGGGCTAATCTCAAAAAATGTTCTGAATTTCAAGTACTTGACATTAGAACGTCTCAAAACTGACCTTGATCTATCTTGATGTCATGACAAAGTTAGTCCTTTCGTTAGCTAGCTCTTCATCAAATGTCAGAATACAACACTTGAATCGTGCTTTGATAGGCATTTGCATAAATGAATTAGGTGAATGCCCTTAGAACCCTATCAGACGTTCACATATAGAGGGAAAACTGGATAAAATATATATCAAGAATAAAATATAAACGCCACACCAAAGCCTTCTCTAATCAGTTAATTCACATGATTAGTGAAAACGCTCATTTACTTTCATTTAAATTGCTCATCATGAGCAGCTCTGATCTATTTCGTCCAGATTTTAGCGCAAGTATAATGAAAAAACTAATTTGTCACACCGAGATAGATTAGTATATATTGTTAGACATTTTGATGTCATAGATCAAATTATGGAACTTCGTGTTTCTAGAACTATTTTTGGAATTAATCCAATTTCTTATTTTGAAAATTTTACCAATCTTGGTATTTATCAACTTTTCCACAAGTATCCCAAATTTTTTTTAATAAAAAAAAAGTATTTACTAGTTTTTTGTAAAACACTTAAGTGTATTCTCCCCAATATTCAAGTATTTCTTTCTATTATTAATTTTCAGACACTAGACAAATTTTCTCAATTTTCTAAAAAAGAAATTGATGTTGGAGGAGATATCTCGCATTGCCTTACTCTTTTTTTTTTTTGGCAATAATGACCGTACTTAATGTGCATTATAGCCAACAAACTGGTTGATCTTCCATGATTTTTGGCCTATTTTTTATTTGGATGTAATCAACTGCTAATCTTCATGGTCAAACTTAGAAAGGACAATAAAAGGTCTACTGAAAGTTTTTTTTTTTTTTTTGGGCAGAATGTCTACAATTTCTTTGGTGTCGTGTACATCATGAGAATCTTAAAACCAGCAACTAGGTTATTATTTTTCAAAGTGAGATCAGCATCAGCGCATTGAAAATTATTCCCTCCATATATTTTGTTGTTCTTTTGAAAGAATTAAAAAGTATACAAATTGCATACACATACACGTACCTTTATATATCTATGTGTGTATGTGTGTGTGTATATATATATATATATATATATATATATATATATTTTGAAAGAAAAAATGAGGCGATAATAGTGCGAGTGGTCCAGTCACTAAATTCGCTCCATTTGATTTGTCAAGGTATTTGGCGCCAGGTATTACAACCGATGCACGTTGTATTGGGAAGAGTTTTTCAACGCAATTTTCCTGGATCAAAGCGTGTGTGTGTGTGTATATAGACACACATACGCTCACATGAGAACCAATATAGTTCAATACAGGAAAATTACCCGTTTTCTCCCCAAAATTTAAATTTATCTTTGTTTCCCCGAACTTCAGTAACTCTTACAAATTTTCCCCCTCAACAAAATTTTTAATTGAAA